TTTTGAGTATTTCTCTTGAGAAGTCCAATTTTATTTTGAATTATTTTCATTCATATCCAAACTTTTCAGTTTTGTTATCTGAAAATATTTGCAAATGTTCAATATTGTCAATATTCTGAAAAGTCACCATGATGGACCTTCATGTGATAATATTTGCTAATCTGTCAGTATTTGGAAACCAGTGTGCTTAAGGTTTAGAATTTTTTATTGACTATTTCTTTCCTTTCTCTCTCTCTCTTACTCATGCTCTTGCTCTCTGAACTTCATTTGATCAGTATTTGGACTTCCTGGATCCTGGATCCTCTATGACTATTCTTACTTCTTTATGACTTGTATAGTTTTCATTGCATTTTGTTCTGCTCTCTATGAGGTTATCATGGCTTTATTATGTAGTCTTTCCAATAAATGTTTCATTTCGATTTTATTAGTTTAGTGTTAACTATGTGATCATTAAGTAAACTGAAAATAGTTTGTAAATTTTGTAAAAATTAGGAGTGGGAATCTGAGAAGGAGGAGGATAAAGGGCTGGAACATGGGCAGGAGGGAGGGTAAGGGGGGAAGTGCCACTATGTTCCTAAATCTGTATATATGAAATACATAAAACTTGTATAACTTCAATAAAATTTAAAAAATATTTGATTTTCAAGGGCTCCATCTAGCTAAACTGACAGTTCCATTTATATACTGCCCTAGTGGATGCAATGACTTCTCATTTATCTGAGAATATAAATTACAATTTTATTTTTAGGTTTCATCAGCTCTTTGCAATACCTGTTTTCTATAGTTCCCTTTTTCTCTCTTTGGTCTTTTGTGTTTTTATTTCTCAACTGGGACTTCCTCAGTGGGGAAGGGTTTTGATTATACATTCATTTTTAAATAGTCATGTAAGTCCTGAGTGGAAGCTCTATTTGAAGTATGGAATCTTCTAGCACAGTCCTCCCCTTCCCGGTGATATATTGGCAACATTTTCATTTCATATTGGAACCCCAACCTATCCCCATTTTTACCAGAGAAGCACTCTCCAATCTCCTGCTGTGGTGAATGCCGCGCAAGAGCAGGGGACTTCCTTCACATTGGATGTTTTTTGTTCAGCTTGGCTCTCCTCTCTTGCAGTCTGTTCTACCTATTGTCCCTAAGCCTACAGCCTCTTGTTTTGCTTCAGAATAAATCTACAAGGGTTTGGTGTTCAGACTAGCTGTTAAGATGCTGCTTGGTTTACTTGTAACTCATATCAGAATGTTTGGCAGCAGGTGATGGCTCAAATAGTTGTCTTTGTGCCCCATATGGGAGACCTGGATTGGCTTTCTCATGCCCAGCTTCAGTCCCTCTCAATCCTGGCTGTTGTCAGCATTTAGGGAGGGAACCAGAAGTTAGAAGAGCTCGCTTGCTCTCTCTCTCTTCTTTTCCCTCTCCCTTTCCCATTCCACTGTCTTTCAAATAAATATTGACAAATAATAAGCCCCCTTCCAGCGTTGGATAGCTGCGTCTGTTGGCAGCACACAGAGGAAAGATCTTATATCCCTGTATCTAGAGAGACTTGTAATTAACTTTCTGATTGGATCCTCACACATTTCTCTACTTTTTGTGATGCCTATTTCCAGAGCCTGTTCAGAGTTCTGGAGAGAGATTTAAGCAAAATTTCCCCAGCCAATGCTGTTACCAAACTTTGTCTCTGCTAACGCCTCCATTCACTTTCTATTTCCTGTGAATGTTTTCCATTTCAGTCTACTATAGACTAATCTTTCATTCTTTGTGTCTGAATGTGTTTGTCATATTTTATTTCATTATTCTCATCTTAATGAGGTTTTGGGAGAGAATAAATGAAAAGCATACTTTTAATCTATGCTTAATCAGAAAACTTTTGAATAACTTGGAAACACAAAATAAAATTCTAAAAAATATTTTGCTACTTGGTTCCAAATAGGAGAGTATTTCAAAAAGTTCATGGATAACTGGAATTAAAAGATAAGTTTATTTTGGTGAAAAATTTTTTGTAATCAATGCAGTTTTTTCATAATATGTATTTTACACATCAAAGACCTCTCATTTGCACTGATTTCCATATTTTCCAATAGAAGACAACTTGCATATATGTATTTCAAACATTTTTGAAATACATATTTTTCAATTCTGCTTCCACGAAATTTTTTAAGTACCCTTGAATACCAGTAGCATATTATTACTAATCTGGAAATGCTGTTTATTTAAACAAAACCAAACTTTGGTCAAGGCATTCATGTTGTCAGACATCATAATTCCTAAATTGCATAAGTTGTATAACTATAACTTCCTAAATATACTCTATTCAGTACCAAAAAAAAAAAAAACATTGTCTTAATTGTTCTTAGTTGTTAGCACAATTTATCCTTTTCCTGTTATATCAATTATATGAGGCACTGCCAAAGTCAAAGGAAGTGACTGATCAAAGCCTGCATAATGGCTGGTGAAAGAATTCACCAAAGCACATAAAGAGAAGCCCTGGATTGACTGAGCACACTAAAAGGAAGAAGTAGAGAAGCAGGTTAGGTAGGAGCTGATGACTGCTACAACATGGGCCATAACTGGAGGGGTACACCAGGAGTGGCAGCCCCTTCTCAGTTATGTGATTGTTGCCACAGGCTTGCAAGAGAGCATTGGGCAGGACGGCCATCCATTGCAATATGGACTCCAATCCAGGAAGCATAATGTAACTGCAGTATTTCCTCAGTTAGGGTGATGACAAGTCGTCAGCATTCAAATGAATTTCTCATTTTCTGTAACTGCTTCACGCTAGGCAGGGGCATTGCATTGACCCTGCTGAAGGTTGTTGGTCTGGCAAGGATTTGAGGTGTCCTGGGTCCTGGCTACAGAGATAGAATGAGTGGTAGAGCTTCGGGTAATTCCTTCTAGAATCATATTATCTAGAGGGCTGTAGGTGGCCCCTTCTGGAGGAATACCATATTGAAGGAGTTGCTGCATTATTGAAGAGAAAAAAATGAATTCAGTTATTCCTAAAGAAACAGACCAAGATTCAGGGTTTGGAGGAGAGATGTTGGAGGAATTACTAGAGATAAGAGAATATAGAATTTATACTTTAAAATGTGCATTATCTATTCTTAGGTAGAACACTTCTTGGCTAGCAAATGTAAGCACAAATGTACATCCAGAATTACTGGGGATGTGTATACAGCATTCTATTTTAAGGAGGTCACAAATTCCCCTTTGGGCAGCTGCAAGGATATATAGAGCCATTTAGTTTGGGAGAACTGCTTTCCTCAGTAGGAAAACTTCAGTTTTTAACAAGGAGAAGTCTCTGTTCAGAAGTGGCAACACATAGTGACCTGATTGCACTGTGATGGGCTGCCCAAGAGTGAATAGTCTATTTCCTGCTATACCTCACAAGTGGCTATTATCTAAGCCAGACTTTGGTGACAATGTCCTAGCATCATGTATGAGAATAGCAAGTATCATATCTAGTTAACAACTCTTTTTTGAAATGGGGGTCTTCTCTTAAAGGTTTAATTCTAGCAGTCTTTTATGACACTTGCTATCAGGCAGTCATGCATATGAACTGTTCCTTTATAACATTTTGGCTTTATCTAATTTTGCATACAGTTGGCACAACTGACTCCATCTTGATTTTTATCCCCCCTTGTGATAAAGATGCTTCTCCAAGCATAACACTAATCAATCATCCTTTAGCTAGGTTATATTTGTCCCTCATTGCCAGGTTGGATTTGACCTGGCTGTTGATCCAGTCAAATATAAGGAGTATTTGCTGACCAGAACTCAGTGTTAAGAAACCCTTTCAGCCACATCCTAGCAAAAAAGAGGTTCAAGAAGATGTTCTTAGGCTAACTTTCCCAGGAGTCCTTTGTTGAATTTAGCTTTATCTGTTCTGTAGGTATGTGTCATCATCTCAAAATGCCAGTTAAGCATGATCTCGTTGGGAATTGTAACAAAATCAACAATAACATCAAGTCAGGAAGACTAAAATTAATGACCAAAGTTGCAATCTAAAAGCCTGTGTGTTTTAGTTTGTTGACTATTTCCATTACATAGAGTAACAAAAGTTTCTTTCCTATATAATGATTTCAGAAAGCCAATCCAAAGTGGATCTGATTTTTAATTATAGTATCTAATATTTTGAAATTTCAGGGCCTGCTAAGAAATGACATCTCCATTTACTCACTGCAAGGCTTGTAATCTTTGAAGCCAAGTTCTCTGTGCATAAATGCTAGATGTGTCAATGTTTCCAACTATATCCTGTATGAGAACAGATTGTTACTGAACTCATACAGATCATCACATTCTCTCTCTTTCTCTCTCTCTCTCTCTTTCACACACACACACACACACACAGAGAGAGAGAGAGAGAGAGAGAGAGAGAGACAGAGAGAGAGAAGACAAGAAGACAAGACAAGACAAGACAAAAACTCAAAGAGTATTTGGCCCTCATGCACACTAAAAACTATTTTATTACTTCTACATCCAAGAAAAGGTGAGGTTCAGCCATGGATATAGAAAATATGTTAGCATCCTTTGGGATCTTTTCAAGAAAACGATTTTAACTCTTTTAAGACTCAGCTTCCTCAAGCAGACAGAACCTAACAAAGACAGCAGAGAACACAAAAGATTTTCCCAAGAAGTCATAATTTAACAGACACCAGAGAACATAAGAGATTATCTTACTGGTTGTGACAGAGAGATCAAGCTGAAAGACAGCATTGCAGCTTCTGTTAAAGGGCTAGGTTTTGTCATTCTGGAAGTTTAAATGAGGGATAGACAAAGGAAAACTAGATGATTCCTTTGGGTCTGGGCATTAAAATGGCCCCAATTAAGGCGATGTCCCATTCTTCCAAATGATCTGCTTGAGAGGCAGGGGCATCCCATCCCCTGAAGGGGAATTACTGGCACTTCCTCAACTAAAATAAGGCCTTCTAGGTCCTTAGTAATGACCGCTGTTGCTGGGTAGCCTATCCAGGTCCAAAAGGAAAGGGACAAAAAAGGATTGTATTCACCTTGGAAGTGTCAAGTGTCTCAGTCCAGGCTGGTTGCAGATGGAGTGGTCCAGGGGAAAAGGAAGAGCAGGCTTTCAACCTTTGTGAAGGACAAAGGGAGCCCACTAGGATGCGATGGAACACGTCCTCACCCCTAAGGGCAGCAAGCCCTAAGCATGCACAAGTGCAGATGTTCTGATTCCACCAGAGTCACCCTGGCCCAGAATCAGCCGCTGTGCCTGCACAGGAAGGCAGGTTCTGAGGACTGGAACCAGAACACAGAGAGCAGGATTCTCACACCCGAAGGCAGTGAGTGCGAGGTGTCTGAGAATGGGGACTTTTCAGTTCTGCCAGAGAGTTGCCCTGGCCAGAAGTCTTCGGTTGCTCCTGCACTGGCAAATGATTCTCTAAGGATCAGAGACAGAAGACAAAGGAGGGCTAAACGTGAACAGGAGGTCAATGTTGGGTGTGCGTTCACCTGGAAAGGTTTCTGCTGCCGGCTGTGTCACATGGTGGTGGTTGGCTCCCTGTGATCAGAGAAGTCCCCATATGAACCAGAAAAATGTCATGGGAAGAGACCCGTCGGGGCTGGCATTGTGGGTGGTGGAAGAATTTACCAGAGCACATAGAGAGCAGACCTAGATTTACTGAACACACTGCAAGGAAGCCACAGGCAGGCAGGTCAGGTAGGCACTGACTACTGCTGCAATATGGTCTGTAGTATGAAGAGGACACCTATAATGGCAACCCCTATGATGACTGTTGCCATATGCTGGCAAGGAAGCTGTGGGCAGGACACCCAGAGGCTGTCTATTACAGTGTAGACTACAATCCAAGAAACATATTTGCAACTGCAGTATTTCCTGTTAGGGTGATTTCTTTGTGGTCCAAGAGGTTTTCAGCTCTGGTTGGAGCTGAGGAGTATGTATATCCCGTTTACCTTAGGGACTCCATCAAACACTCTGGGGCCACCTTCCACACTGAGGGATGGCGGAGCCTATAAAAATCATACAGTAGGGAGGTTCTTTTCAACCTCAGCCATATCCAAGCCTGTAAGCATTTTTCATTCAAGAGAAAAAGGAAAGCATTAATAAGCCGCAAAGGACACCTTTGGTTTCCTGGCCATGCCGTGGATCTGATACCTTATTTTTTCCAATGTTTAAACTCCTTTTCAATTACCAGCCCTCTCTTTTTTGAGGTATTTCCCACAGTGTGTATGGCTTACCTTCTACTCACACCATCAGAGGAATGACTGGGCAGGTTATGCCCTATCTACAAGGGCAATATCAATAAGACCAATGAAGAATACAATTCATCTGGGCTGTGCTTGCCAAACGCGTACTTATAGGGCTGCCTCTCTGCCGATGAGCTGCCATTTTCTGATTCACACACAAACTCTGTATCTATTAGAGTGTGGCCACTCAGATCTTGATCCCGGAGCTTTGCTTGTGCATCTCAGCTACAGCAACTCGGGACCAATAAATAAGAATTACCTTGTGCTTCCTACTGCTCAGCCTTCAAGGAATCACAGGTCTTATCATTTATCTGCACATGGCTCCCATTCATATTGTAAGCCCCAATAACAGCTCAGTAAATTTCACATTAGCTGAAGACAGCCAGAGCGGATGGCCATTGCTTGCCACCAAAACTGACAGAGAGTATATAAAAACACGGATGAAATGGCAATGTTTATTTGGGGAAGGAGGAAGTAGAGAAGAAAAGGAAATCGATGAACTTTTGAAAAATGTGAATCTTGTTCTTCGTAGTGTTCTCTGTGACATACTTTCCTCCATCGTCTCCCTACCTCATCTGCTTCCCCTTCAGTGCTCTGATTCTATAGCCTAATGACAAAAATGCAAAGCTATCCAATGCTTTAGAACTATGATTATTGTTTTAGTTGGCTTTGGAGGGGTGGCAGTACCGGTGGGGGGGCTGGTATGGTGGGAAGAATAACTACATTTTTAAAGTTGTACTTATGAAATTTGTATTCCTTAAAACATAAATTAAAAAATAAATTTAAAAAAAGCAAATACAAGCAGACAACAGCAATAACATCACACATGGTGGCAGGGAAATGAGCATCAAGGCAAAGAACAACATCCACTTAAAACAAGGTCGCTTGCTAGCGGTCTATTGGGAGGCAGACCTCAGTCAACAAATTTTTAAATGAACCAGGAACTAAATAACAATATAAATTTTTAATTTTCTCTTTGGCAGAAGTCAAATAGAATGAGAGCTTGGAAAGTGACATAAATTTAATTTTCCTGTAAGTCTGAGGCACCACAGAAACTGAAAAGTCTGATAAAAATGTACCATTTCACCAGATTTGTAGCCTACTTTTATTAATTCCAGTGGCTGGTAGTCAAAAGGAAGAGAAACAGTTCAGATGAGCACTTTTAAAAGCAGTGCGAGCTGTGCAGAGTTATCCATAAAGGGAAGAGCAGATGAAACAATTCAATTTAGAAATAATAACCCATACCATGAACTGGGGCCCACGTGACAAGCTCTCGATACCAACTACAATAGAAATCTATCATCAAGGCTTATGGAACTGGAAGCTTTCAAGATGATAGAATACCTACTGCTTTGTTTTGTTGGATTTTTTGTTTTTGCCCAAGTCCATAAGCCTCGCCAGACTGTAACATACAGTATGGAATTCATTAACAAAAAAAAATTCAACATAGAAGTAACAGCTGCCTATGCTTTCTTTTGGAGGATGAAAGCATACTGCTTGTGACAGGAACAGAAGGTATGGTATATACAGAAGTTAGGTAGATCAGAGTTTCTCCTTCATTAATTAATTGTACTAGGAAAATCCTGTGAAAATTCACACTGATGCCCCCTGCAATTTTCTCTACATTATTCAGGTCAATTATAATCTATTTGCAGTCCTAGTGATGGACACATATGAAGCCAGGAAAGTACATAAAATCAGAAGATGCTAGAAAAATGTGTTGGTGGACTATGTGAGAACGAAACTGATGACCTATAACATATGGTGGTTTATTTTGCTGTGGCACATATTTGAACCATGGGCTCTATACAACTGGAGAGCCCAGGAAGTCATTTCATACAATTTTCTTCTTTACATGTCCTTAAATAAACAGTACCTCTTACCTTTACATAAAAGCAATATTTTATTTCACTCCAGGAAAACAGATGGATGATAAATGCCTGCATTTACAAAATGAATTTGGAATGACAGGATTTCGATTAGGGGTCCTTTGGGGGTAGTTCAAAGAGGTGAGTTTGTATCCTCTAGACCAGATGAAACTAAGGACAGATTTTGCACCAAAATTTAAAGGTCACATTGGTCGAGCTTTAAAATACTGACTCCTTACACAAGAAATTCATTTAATGAGGTGACAGCACCAAATATAGATACCTGTCCTGCAGAGGAGCTGGCCCTATGAGAATCCTGCAGACTAGAAGACATGGTAAATGCACGGTGAACTCATTTTGTAGATTTGATTGGCAGAGTTGCAGCTTGTCACATGGGGAACTTCGGGTAAGCATGTTCCAGTGTTGAACAGCAATTGCATGTAGGCTATCTCATAAAGCAATAAAAAGTGCTTGATCTTCTCTTAGAAATGATCCAGAAAATAAAAGAGCATAGCTAGTTTTGCTTTTGGTAGCTACAGAAAGTGAAATTAGAGGTATAATTCTGAAAGCAATAGGATCTCACCTCTGTAGTGTGATGAATTATATTAAAGGTGCTATTAGAAATGAGAAATTAAGAGGAAGTTATTTGTGTGCTTGCAGACTTTTCTGTGGGAGTACCACAGTGTAAACTGTTAGGAAAAGAATTGCAGATTGGTGCCTCCTCACACGGGGCACCAAAATGTTAGGAAAAGAGGCGCAGAATAGAGAGGAGGCAGTGTACGAATTTACAGCCAGAACCAAATTTATTCAGAGAAAATAAATCTGTAGAGGTGGGTTACCAGCTGCCCATGTGCACATGATGGAACATGTGGCAGAAGGCCCCGACCCCCAGGGGCTGGACATTTTTATATTTTAGGAGGGCTGGGGATGGGGGTGGCGGTAGGGGGCAGCAGGCAGAGGGAAATTCCCGGAACGGCTTTCAAGTGGTTGTGGGTGGTGGGGTATGAAAGCAAAAGGGTGTGAGATCCAGTTGAGATTCAGGGGCAAGGGGGCAAGGATTACTTTCCAATGTTTACCTATCTTTTGGGCAATGAGCAAGAATGGCTGAGGCTATGTCTTGTTCATATAAATGAGGACTGAATGATATCAGCTACTTACGATTCAGTGATTCAGGTGCCTCAGCATAAAGTCATGACTGACTCACTTATCCAGAATCTCTGCTAGCAGTCTTCCATGGAACCCTCAGCTAATTATTTCATATCTCTGAGCTTCAGTCCTTCAGCAGTAACACAGAGAGTTCAAATATGTTTCTTATCAGACTTAGAAGATTGCTCAGATTACTAAAACAACATCCAAGACACTTGAAACAAGAATTGTTGAAGAGGGACACTCATAACCAGAACCCATTCTTCTGTACTGTACTGTAAATGGCCTGATTCCAAGCCTCTCTGATCAGAACGTGCCTCTCCCTAGTTTTTGCATGTCAGTTTTTCCTACCTAATCCGTAAAACTTCCCCCACATCCCAGATTGAGGAGGCAGATTTGGGTCACAGCCCCTGCCTCCTTTGCTGACTGGCCATCAAATAAAGCCGTTCTCCTCCCTAAGACCTGGTGTCTTACATCTGTCTTTGTGTGGAGCAAGCAGAGACCCTACATGGAGTGATGTGGGGTTATGAGTCAAGGAACACAGCAAGGCTCTAGAAACTAGACAGGGAAAGAATATGGGTTCTCCTCCAGGTCCTCCAGAGGAAATATTCCCCTGCTGACCTATCTTTATATTCCAAACTCCAGAATTACATGTGAAAAACTGGTGTTGCTCTAAGCCATTGAGTTTGTGGTAATTTCTACAACAGAAAGTGAGTTTTACCTTTTGTGAAGGAGGGATGAGGATGTTGGTGTAGGTGGTATAGGTTTTATAATTGAGTCAAGAAACCAAAAGCATAGAAAATGCCAGAAAAAATTTCCCAAACAGAAAGCAGCATCGCAGCTTCCAAACTTCTCACATAAATTAGTAACAATAGACAAGTAATTGGCAAGTTTAGAGACTCAAAAATCATGAGAAATAATAAAATAATTATTTTAACAGTTGGGTCTAGTGTTGTGGTGCAGCTGCTTTGGCCAGTGCCTACAATGCCTGCCTGTATCCCATAAGAGCGCAGGTCCAAGTCCTGGATGCTCCACTTTTGATCCAGCTCCCTGCTAATGCACATGGAAAAGGAGCAAAAGATGGCTCATGTATTTTAGCCCATACTACCCACATGGGAAACACAGACGGAGTTCCAGGTTCCTGACCTCTATGGCCCAACCCTGGCCATTGTAGCCATTTTGGGGAGTGAGCCAGCAGATGGAAGATCTCTCTCTCCCTCTCTCTGTCTTTCCTTCTTTCTCTCTGTAACTCTTTCAGACAAAAAAAAACCTGAATTATTTTAGTAGTTGCTAAAATATTTTGTAGCTGAGAAATTTAGGGAAGGGCATAAAT